TTTGGTCCTAGATAAAAAAAGAGGCAAATCGGATGATTTAATGATTTATCCCACTTCTAACCCTTATAAAAAACACGCCTCCATTTTGCTCCATCATCTTGCTCTATCTCTCATCACTCTAAGGGAAAATGGCCAAGACTTTACCCTCCGTCATCCTGTTCTATCAACTTGCTATGTAAGCCCTCCATCATCCTCGGATTTCAAGCATGTGCATCTCGATGGTAAGTTTTTTTCTACCTTTTTTTTTTGAAATTAGATGACAATGAAATCTGACAAGAAATCATATATGAATTTAGCATCTTGCACCACTTGTATAATCTGAAATCGGTCATGAAATCAAGCTTTTTTTGTTTTTATTTTCCTGAAATTGGACATATATCCATGAACAAGTACTATCAATGTGAATATCAAGAGGGTTGCTTTCCTTTTTAGTTATTTCTCATATACATGCTTCTTGATGTGCTTCTTTTACATTAATATCACATATTTTAGTAAAGGGTTTCATAAACTTTGCATTATCCGAGATTCATGAAATTTGTATAAGATTTTGACTTCATACCTATTGTGAAGTAAAAGACTAGTCTGAGAGAGAATACTCAAGAGTACATATGTATTTATGAGTTGGATGAATTGTATAGATAATTTCAAACTCAATATTGTGCAAATATATTCCAATTGGTTTGTTGGATGCACTGTACATATAATTTTGAATTGAGTCATTGCATAACTTATGGCCAATTTTGATATTCATGTATGGTATCATTATTGCCTATTTATGTCATATTTAGGCTATGTAAACCTCAGTAAAATTTGAAACCATCTTGATTTTTGAATTCGTTCATGTCATACTTTAGAGTCGGATACATCGGAGGTAATCATGTCGAGAGAATCTACTTATAGTTGCTGAAGCCTTGTATTATAATGTTGAAAAGGGTGTATTGATGGTTCCTGTTAATTACAAGTATCCTCTATCTTAAGCAACCTAATCTCACATTAACCAACGGGTTCGGTTGTGTTGATCCCAGACAAGGAGTGATTCCCTTCATGATTTCTATTTTTGATTTATTTTCTTTTTTGTAATTTTTGTCCATGTAATTCTCTTGTGCATTAAAATAAAGACTTTCTTAGAATGTGGTATGAATTATTGGTCCACTAAAGTTTTCAAAAGTCTAATATATATTTTAGTGGTTTGAATACTTTATCATCATTATACTTTTACTTTTTCCTAAATTACAAATTTACACAATTACATATGTATGTAAAATTGATGAGATTATCCTTTATGAATAGGACTGGGAAACTAAAGGTTATTAAATTTAAATAAAGGTTATTAAATTTACATATACTCAAATAAGTTATTAAATTTACAAATTCTCAAATAATTCCATCCATCATGATAATTTAATTATTAATACCACTACAAGAAAAATGCGATTTTGCTACGGAAGGAATCCGTTGCGAAAAGATGAAATTTCGTTGCAAAGGATGATTTGGTATGGAATTTGCAATGGCCCATCTCCGTCCCTAAAAATGCCACAGCGAGGGTTTGCAACGGAAACGATACTTCCGTCACAAATGTGACAACGAAATGAAATCTTTGGTAGATGGTATTCCATCATGTATTCCGTAGTAGGATTCCATCACAAAAATCCGTGCTGATGATTCATAGCGGTGATGAATCCCTACTAAATTCCATGGTGGTCATTCCCTAGTAAATTCCGTGGTGGTGATTCCCTAGCAAATTCTGTGGTGGTCATTCCCTAGCAAATTCCGTGGTGGTGAATCCCTAGTAAATTCCATGGTGGTCATTCCCTAGTAAATTCTATGGTGGTGATTCCGTAGCAAATTCCATCGTGTTGAATCCCTAGCAAATTCCGTTTGATGAGTTAGTAGCAAATTTCGTGGTCATGAATGTCTTGCAATTTTTGTGTTGTATATTATGTACCAGATTCCATATGGACCGATGGATAATTGATTTATAAATTATATCCAAATTATTTTGTAGTAATATATGAAAAACAAAAATAACAAAAAATCGAAACCATTATATCATAAAATAATACAATAATTATTTATTGCATGGAACAAAAAGTTGCTAATCTAAAAAAGTACTCTGCAATAAACATATATCAACCTACTAGTATTGTTGTTTTGTAAAGACATTAATAAGATCCAATGCCGTTTGAAGTTGTTTTCAAGATGCCCGACGCTTCCGTTGTTTTCTTCTTGTTGGGCGTTCATCATTTCTTTAAGCTCTTCGTTTTGGGCGTTCATCATTTCTTCTATTTCATCATTTTTTTCTGGAATGTAAGATACATCCGTTCTACCGTTCCTATTGGGAATCTCCTTTGCAAAAGAGCTTAATCCTTAAAGTCTTTTTTTTTTATCATGACCATCAACAACAACATAAAATAGATTGTCCTCCTCAAATTCCGTTGTGAAGGTGACTTCATCGTGATTCTTCGTGTGTGTGTACAGGAACAATTTACTATGCGGTGGATCACATCCTAATTTCCTCTTCTGCATAAATACCATATAAAATGTCAAATATACATATAAACATATATAAATATTGATACGATGTACCATTAAAAAAATTCCCAAATCAGAAGCTATCTTCAAATGAGTTGCAGATCAAGCGTTATGTGTAGGTTTTGCTACTCCATCAGCCACACCGTTACGTCTATTTTTCTTGGTCTACTTAGATTTTAGCTTGTATTTATCTATATTCAATTTTAATTGCCAGGAGTTCCAGACTTCTTGTGGAATATGGGTTGGTTTAAAGCCATATTTGATTCTTTTTGGGCTCTGCATGTTAAAGAGATATTGACCATAACTTTGTGCTGCTTTCCTTGCCCAAGCTTGCCTCACCAGTGAGTCTATTGTTTCATCCCAACAACATTTGTTCTGCACATTAAGAATATAAACATAAGTTTAAGTGTAAAGGTTTACCAAACAACAATTTATCGCATATAGTTAATTAGATGAAACTCCTTCCAATATAATTTGCGCATTTCTTCGCTTACTTTTCCCTAAGCGTACCATTATGGATCTACTCTTTGTAATAAGGACCGAATAATAAAGTGCGCCTAAGGGCCTGGTGGCATTAGCGTGTAAGTAATCATGTGATGTGTTAAGTTATGAATTGATATGTACATGCAAACTAAAAGGTTATACATAGAAATAGTTGTAATTAAGATTTGATTGGTAACTCACATTTTTTTTCCAAACATGGACAGTTAAACGTCCATCTGGTCTGTGATCTTCAGAGGATTCATTTTCACATTCTACACTTTCCACTACGGATCCATTCAAGCTTGGTTGTGTTGGTGATGGGGTAGATTCTCGGATAAGTGGTGTTTATGGGGTATATTCTGGGTTAGGTGTTGGGATAGATGTATATGTTGAGGATGTGGTAGTTCCTTTACTTAAGGAGGGTGTGGTAGTTACTGTAGTTGTGGAGGATGGTAGTGTGGATGCAGGTTTTGAGGTTGTGGTAGTAGATATAGGTGTTGATGATGTGGTAGTGGGTGTCATTGTTGAGGATGGTTTAGATGGTGTAGGTGATGATGTTTTGGTTATTGATGTAAGTGTTAAGGATTGTATTGTTCCATTTTTTGAAGTTTTAGATGTATTTTCTAAGGACGATGTGGATGTTGTAAGTGATGCCACGGAAGTGGTAGTCATGGTTGATGTTAATGATATAGGTTTAGGGATTTTGTTGGTAGATGTTATAGGTGCTTTGGATATGGTTGTTGGTATTGGAAAGTCGATTTGTTCATCTTGTAATTGTCTGTTTATGAATTTTTCAGCTGACATCCTATTGCGTTTCATAACCTGTGGTGCAATGAATTTAGTTGGCTTCACACTGGACGCTCCTTTTGTTTTCAAGTTCGACATCTTTCTTGCTTAAAAATTAACAAAAAACTATAGTCAATACCAATGTATTAAAGATGATAAACTACGGGTCATTGGTCAACATGGTAGTTTCTTATGGTGTCCATGGATGACATACGGGTCATTGGTCAACATGGTAGTTTCTTATGGTGTCCGTGGATGATATATGAGTCATTGGTCAACATGGTAGTTACTTATGGTATCCATGGATGACATATAGGTCATTGGTGATCAACATTCTAGTTGCTTATGGTGTCCATGGATGATAGGGGGGTCAATGGTCAACTTGGTAGTTGCTTATGGTGTCCATGCATGACATATCGGTCATTGGTCAACATTGTAGTTGCTTATGGTGTACATGGATGACATACAGGTCATTGGTGATCAACATGGTAGTTGCTTATGGTTTCCATGAATGACTTACGAGTCATTGGTGATCAACATGGTAATTGCTTATGCTGTCCATGGATGACATACATGTCATTGATTAACATGGTAGTTGCTTCTGGTGTCCATGGATGACATATGGGTCATTGGTCAACATATATCATTTGTGTCGGTTGTGTATTATAATAGAAATTGATTTTTCTTTTAATTATGATTTTTGACAAGACTACCCTTACCAATTAAATATGATTCATTGTATGTATGAGGACAATTTGGTCATTTTATAATGGAACATCTTCTAAGCATCGTAATGTTTTCCGACAAAACTCGTTGTTTCAGTTCTCCACTCTTATTTCAGTCACTTGCAAACAACACCAATTTCAAAATTCCGACAGTCAAAAAACCCTAAAATCATTTTCGCAAAATCGTTGGCTTTATTGAAGGTTTATTATTAGTTCTTCGAAGATGCAATCAAGAAATCAAAGGAAATCGCTAACATACATGTCAATGGAAGTGATAGAGAAAATAATAGTCGAATTGGGAAAAAAATTCAACAGTCGGGGCTTTTAGGATGAAGAGTGTGTAAGTTTTGTCTTTGATCATTCTATTTCACAAGTGTATTTGAGTTGTATTTACATTATGGAGCGAATATTGTGTTTCGTTTGCAGTTGTAGATTTTTCAACGAGGCAGGAAAACATATGAAGTATATAAACAAATGGAGTTAGGTGGATTACGATTTCGTGGTTGGTCTGACCAGAAACATGCAGTTGTCAACAAATACATAGAGATGAGAAACCCAAATATTTTGTTCAGGAATGGATTGGTACGTTGTCATATAAAGGCATAGTATTAATTAATCTATTTCTTATTTTGCATAAGTTTAGCTAGAACTTATGTTTTTAATGTTTTTTTTTTTCAGATGAAGTTATTTTTCTTAGAAGTTAAACATGAAGGGAAAACGATGCTTGAAGAAGCATCTGCATTAGGACATTTGGATTCATCATTTTTCCTGGGAATGATGCTGACGGTTGAAGGGAGACATAAGAAGCAGGAAGCTTTAGATATGTTGAACAATGCTTACCGCATAGCAAAAGGTAAGTGGAATCTTAGAGCAACTTGTTCTAAGGTTCATCTCAACTTAAATAGGGAGAGGAGGAAACATGTACACTTCCATGGCTTCCATATAACTTGTGCAATGCATAAGTCTGTAATTAGTGTGTGTGATGCTTTTGTGAATATATACAAATCGGTGTTTATGTGTGAAATTTGTTTGTGTGATACTTGTTTCGTTAGGTTTTGTAGGGAGTTTGGTATAATTTATGAGTAGTTTGTTGATATGTACTTTCATATTATGACAATTAATGCTATGTACATTTTTTTGGTTTAATATACGAATATATAGCAATTTATTTGATAAGTAATTAATTGATGTTATTACTTGATTAGTAAATATGTTGTGTTGTTAATAAGGGACTAAAAGAGTAAAAGTTTTGAATGATGTTTGAATAATGTTTGAATAACGTGTTTTGGACTTTCAATATTAGCGTTTATATTGTATCGTGATTATAGTTATATGTAGCACATGTTTGTTCTTTCATAGTATTAAATACGTATAAAATACAATTGTAAAGGCATAAACATACACGTATTTTATTTTGGATTTGGTAATTTGGTTTAATATCAACTAGTGGAGAACCCATGCTTTGAATGGGGTAAAGTTGTAAAGGCGTAAACATAAGGACTAAAAGTGGAAATAATGAAAAATTTTTGTGGCTAAAATCAAAGTAAAAAAGTTGCTATAAACATACGGACTAAAAGTTGCAACAAAAGAAAACTATTGTGTCTAAAATCTAAAGTAAAAAAGTTTACTGCAAAAATCTTGTTCCATTTTAAATATATATATATATATATATATATATATATATATATATATATATATTATATATATATATATATATATATATATATATATATATATATGAATACATTAATATATACTTGTAATTTGGTGAAATTCTAATATAAATGTATTACCTTATGGATTATGATATATATGTTATTTTTGTCTTTTTCATTTCAACAATCAAAAGTCCACTGTTACCTAGCTATAAAAGGTTATAATATTTGAACAATGTGTTTGACACAAACGCCCTTAGTATTCACATATTTGGAATGATTTCAATGGGAATTTGGTCTTTTAGCACTCTAAATAGTTAAGGCGCCATCATACCTCTGACGTCACGCTCACGTTTCAGTTCTTCATCCATTCGGAACATCTCAAATTTTCCGGACGATAAATTTGCATACAAACACTAAAACCCACAAATCGTCGAAGGATAATCGTTCTTATAAACGATTTTCTCTGATAATAGAGATTCATGTACTCCTCGCGACTAGATCTTCATAAAGTAAGTTTGTTTTGCATACCCTGTAACATTGTCTTTCATAGTTACGCCTAATTTAAAAAAACAATTGACATCAACTACTCCAATGTGTGTTTTGTAAGTAGAATGTCGAATACTAGAAGTCGCCGTTTGTTATATGATCTCCTGCTATAGATTTTGAGTCGGATATTTGTAGTATTAGGGGCCGAATCTGCGAAAGACATCATCTCTACAAGACTTTGGTAATTCTCAATAAACATGTAACATCCGGATTTATAGGTATTATATTTTATCATTTATTTTTGGAGTTAAGAGAGGTACTCGACGAGTTGACACCTAGACTCGTTGAGTAGGATCGTGTATTGTTGACTGATAAATGAGGGGACTCGACGAGTCGGTAAGGGTGGACTCAACGAGTCATTGCTGATGATTGAAACCCTAAATCCCCGGGCATGTGCTCGATTTAAAGGACCTTATAGCCCTCTTGTGCGGCTACCTGTCCAGAGAGAGTGCCTCTTGAGAGCTTGTGCGAGTTGAGAGAGAGATAAGGATATATTGATCAATTTTGGTGTGATTTAGCAAACGAGAAGTTGTTTCCAACAACAGGAGGTCAACGGAGCTCTGGATCCAGGGTTTTCAAGTTCAGATGTACACTTTTGAGGTATCAAATCGAACTTCCTTTATGTTTTGGGTTAAGATCCATGATCTAGGGTTCTCTATAGCCTTTTTAGAGTTTGATAAGTGGATTTTATGGTCCTTTGCTATATTAGACCGCAGATCTGGACTCATAGAGCTCGAGAGAGCCTTCCCATTTCTGCTTTATGTTGGTTTATGGAGGAAAGGAGACTAGGTTACCATGTTAGAAGGACTTTCACCAAAATAAGAATTGGGTGCAATGAATGTGTAGCAAGATTCAACCTTTACGTGGTTATTGGCTATGGGGAAGTCAAATCTATAGATTAGGGAAGCAGATCTGACCTCAGAAGGTCAGATGGGTGTTGTCATGGGAGCAACTCGCTAAGTTCATGAGTGGACTTGACGAGTCGAGTCGGGGTTGCCCCGCGATTCATTACTAAGTAACCCGGTGAGTGGAGAGGGGACTCATCATGCCAAGTAAGGATTGGAAGGATTCAGAGGACTAGTGTGGACTTGCCGAGTCACCCAAGTGCACTCGACGAGTCTGGTCAACGTTTGACCGTTGACTTTGTTGACTTTTAGGGTTAGTCAATGATTGGACTTATGAGCCATTAGAGGGGTAGAATGGCCTTTTACCCTTTTTAGAGGACTTAGAGAAAGGGGTTTGCCTAACCTTTAGAAGTTGTATTAATTAGAGTAATTATCATGTGATTAGGCGGAGGCTAGTACAGGGTTTCAGAGTTCGAGGTTTACCAAGTTATCCGAGGTAAGTCTTCTCACTATACTTTACCTTGAGTGGTAATTAGAGTTATGTGATTGAGTATCTTGCATGCTATTTGTGTGATGTGTTGTACATCATTATTTCTAGACAAAACTTCAAAAATGGTCCATGTGGTTTTCAAAAATATCAAGTTTAGTCCCTAAGTTCAAAAAACCTCACAGATGGTCCATGTGGTTTCAAAACTTTTAATAAATGGTCCTTTTCGCTAACTCTGTTAGCTTTTGTACGTTAACTGAAGGGTACTTCCATCATTTCACAAAAGAAGGACCATTTATGAAGTTATTTGTTATTTAAAAAAAATATAATTTATTTAATAAAGGGTCCCACCCCTATCTCTCTCTCTCTCTCTCTCTCTCATAGCTATAAGAATATATCTTGAAATATCACAGCCTCCCATTTGATCACCGCCACAACTAATTGAATTTGTCCCTCTCCGTCCAGCACCAACAAAGTTAATTGAGAACCACCACAACGTACCATCCTACATCCCCAAAAACCTCTTTACTCGACCAAATGTTTCCGGCATCTCATTTCGTATCTCATGGCATCCCTAGTAAGCTACTTGATGTCAAAGTAGTACTTTCTGAACACAAAATCGATGTTCAAGAAGAAACCCTGACTTTTCAACACAAAATCGACAAGGGTATTCAAGAAACAAGAACAGGAATACTGAAGACCGAGATGGAATCGATGGATTCAATGATTTTGAACCATTCACTTCAAAAAACGGACCCTCATTCCTTTCCAACTCTTCAGCCCCTTCCCCCAAATTCCATTCCACTACAACTCCTGGACCAAGGGAAAGTGAAATTGTGGAAATTTTCAGAAAAGTCCAAGCCTAAATTCGGGAATGAGCTGCACAAAAAAGCTCCTTCTTTAGTGACCACTGGAAATAACACACCCATAGAGCTTCGGGAAGCTTCAAAAGGCAGCACTGAAATCCTAATGGGGACTACCAGCACCTCCGATCCCTTGCTTTTCCTAAGGGCATTTTCGTGATTTGTAACTCCACCATTAGCAGGAGCTACTATTGTTGAGCGCTCTCCACCACCATTTGTTTCCCTCATGACTGAACCTAAAAAAAGGGCATATAAGAAGTTAATGGAATGGAAATCCATTAAAATCAAAATGTGAGGTCCTACCCTTTTTATGATGCTCGATTTGGATTTGACATGTTGACGAAAGAAGGAAGGAGATTGTGTAAGACTAAAGATACACCTTCAGGCTATGATGAGGGAGGAAGAGAAGGATGAGATGGGGATCAGAGTGTTTACCAGAGGAACCGGTGGTAGAATTTGGTGGTGACGAAGGCGAAAGTCAAAACATATTTGATCGATGGAAGAGTATGGAATGATAGGGCATTACGAGTGAAAAACTTTGTATTTTCAAATTGGGGTAGGAAGTACTGCCATTCTCCAAAAGACTAGCGATCATAGTGGTTTTACCCACGCCCGAGTCGAAGGTATATAAAGGCAATTCAAAACAAATTCAGATTCAAAATAAATTCATGAAGATATGGAATCAAATGATGAAGGAGACATGGAATCTAATAAAACTTACAGGGGAGATAGTGACGAGAAAGAATTTTATATAGCTTACAGGAGAGAGAGAGAGAGAGAGAGAGAGAGAGGTGGGACCCATGCATATTAAATTTTATTTATTTATTTATTTAAAAAAAAGTAATACAAAACCTTATAAATAGTCCTTGGGCTATGAAATGACAAAAATACCGCTTCCTTAACGGCTAATTGGTAACGGAGTTAGCCGGAATGACCAAATGTTAATAGTTTTGAAACCACAGGGACCATCTGTGAGGTTTTTTGAACATAGGGACTAAACTTAATATTTTTGAAAACCACAAGGACCATTTTTGAAGTTTTATCTTATTTCTATGTGATTTATGTTGTGCGTATATCCGAGTTTACTGAGTTAGGACCATAGGGTCCATAGAGTTAGAGCCAGAGGGCTCATAGGGTTATAGCATCAAGTGGCTATTATGTGTTTATATGGTATTTTGGGGAACTTACTAAGAATTTATGCTTATGTGTTTTGTGTTATGTGTTACAGGTGCCAGTGAGGATCACGGGAAGGTGCCGGAATGATCAGTACACACTCTTGGAGTTTTTATACATTTTGATCATGGGATGTGTTTTTATGGATTTGATATGTGATACATTAGGGTATGAGATGTTTATGAATTAAAATTATAAATTTTAAAAGTGAAAAATTGTTTTGAAATTTACATTATTATAAGTAGGTATCAGAGCCTTGGTTTGAGGGATTCGGGTGCACCTTCGAGCGCATTTGAACTCAAACTGAGGATTTGAGGAATTTTTCGAAGTAAAACAAAATTTTTCTAAAAGAGTAAAAAGGTTTTGAAAAGAACAAAGCAGAGCAGTGTGTACGATCATCCAACGCCCGAACAGTGATTTCCCAAAATACCCTTACATTATGTGTTATGTGATATGAGATAATATGTTATGCATGCTAGAGTAGGCTAGGTATTCTTATTAGG